GCTAGCAAGGTGCTATTGAGCTAATTAAGATGCATTTACAGTCTACTCGGTCAAATGAATTTGAGGTGAATTCTAACCATGTCGTTATCATGATGTGTTAAAATGTAAGGTGCATTTCTTTGCGAGAACGTCGTTAAACAAAAACAGCTGTTTGAGGAGATTACAAAATAGTAGTAAGCAGTGGTACAAAGTAATAAGTACCCAGCAATGTACTCAAGTACTGTACTTAATTCAACCTATGGTCCAATGTGTGTCTTATTGTAGAATGTAGATGTTCCCAACCTCATCAGGCCATGGCCTTACAGTGTGTATAATGTGAGAGCAATTCAACCAGAATGGTGATTTCCCTTTTTGTATTGTTTAATTTGAAAGAGTCAATCAATAAATCAATATGTATATAGCAGCCTAATATTACACATTTGACATTTGTCTCAGGGGGCTTTACGAATGCAACACCCTCTGTCTTTACACCGTCACATCGGACAAGGTAACTCCCAAAGAAAGAAAAAAAGTAAGAAACCTTGGGGAGAGCAACAGAGGTGGAATCCCTCTCACAGGACGGACAGACGTACACAAGGGTGTAAATTAAAAAGATTATACATTTTCAACATAGACAGTCCAAATGCTAGAAAAGATAATGTGTCTGTCTATATATAAGAAGAAGATTAATATGGATCCAGGTGGATGTCAACAATCCTCCAGGTGCCAGCAAATAAGTAGTAAGGTGTGCAACAGGCAGCCTGAGTTTAGTGGCCCTTATGTAGGCCCATTTCCAAAGAATAGTGCACAAATGTGAGGGAATCAGAAAGAAAAATAAATCATTTGGTAAATCCCTGGAGATGATCCTGACCCCAGCCAGGTACCATTTGATTGTTAACAAATGTCCCAGCTATAATTTCAGTATTAAGGAAAAATCATTTTATAATCTGTAAAATATATTTAACACATTCTGTTGTATTCAGACTTTATCCATTTCTCCTCAGAAGTCCCCTGTGCCTCAGCATCCCCTAGCAGTCCCCCGTCTCTCCGTGCGGTTACCCATGCTTTACTGCAGGCTTGTCAACATTTGTGTACAAGCATGTTTGCAAACAGGCCAGACAGGACCACTGCTGTGAGACAAACACAAAACACAAACATCAATAAACAAACAAATCCGTTCACACACCCCAATCACTGCGAACACTTCGTGCACATGCAGCCCAATTTCAAAGCACTCACTCAGCCGGCTGTCACGCGCCGGTGTTTGCCAGCAGCGGCATTGTTTGGTTCATATTCAGTGCATTTCTGTGATCATGTCTCATTATTAATAGATGGTGTCAGAGAGTCGCCAGCCTCTCTGTCTGACAAGGCATTAGCATAAACACAGACTTCCTCTCAATATCTGTTTGCACCACACTGTTGACCTTTAATTATAGATGTCTAAATGTTTGTTACCTGTCCACTCAAGTGTGTGAGTGTGTGTCTGTGGGTGTGTATTTGTGTGCAGGCTTCTGTGAAAGGCTTTTACTGTTGTAGCTTTAAGTTGCTTATTCAATCGTGCTTTATTTTTTGCATTATAAGACTTAAGAAGGGGCCTGACAATGAACATGAGAGCAGGATAAAATGTCACATTTCTAAAGTATATGTTTACAAGAAAACAATCAAAAACAGTTCTGAGTAAGATGTAAGATGCTAAGAGGAATTACCAGGGAATCAATTGTGAAGAAAATGCAGGGCATAAAGAACTTATGTGAGTTTTCAAAGAATCATGAGGCAATTGAAAGACTCTCAAAAACAACAAACAGTCCACCGATGAAGAAGCTTCAGTTATTAGATGTGTGTCTCAAAATGTTATGTTTATATCTTGTGATTCAAAAACGTAAAATGCTAAATGACTTGAGAAAGATGCAGATGTGCCACTATAGGACTCACAGGAGCAAATTAACGGACAAGCAGTGTTCAAATCCAACAACACTTTTATTTAGATATTATTACATCTAGTGGTCTCAAATATGAACACTTAATCACAGAATAATTTAGCATTTGATTTAATGTTACATGATTTTAATCATTGTTTTTGGATATTTGGATTATCAATTAGGCAAGGGTCATTTAGCTTTTGTGACACACTGAACAATGTGTGCAACTAAGAGGACACTTAAGGGGAAAATGGGTAACATTAGGGTTTATTAAAATGAATAGTGCTATCAGTATTTATTTTATTGTCCTCATGGGCTTTGTGCGTGCCATTATACATTCTGAACTATTCATATTCTTCTCCTCATCCTACTTAGCTGTTAAGAGGTCTGCTGGTGTTTACATGGGTGTTATGTTTCCATCTCCCCAGCCTCACACTGTGCCCATCACCTGTCGCAACATGCTTTTATTATAATAGCATCATTCCATTAGTATTAATAAAGTAATGCCTGAGTGTGTGTGTGCAGCAGGCTATTCATTCATCAAAAATGGATACAGCAGCATCTCTGCCTGCAGCTATCTGTGTTGTTGTTTTTCCCCTTCACTGCCTTTTAGTCATTCCTTTTCACTTTCTTTCTCTGCTCATTTTGTGTGTGTGTGTGTGTGTGTGTGTGTGTGTGTGTGTGTGTGTGTGTGTGTGTGCGTGTGTGTGCGTGTGCGCATGACACATTTAAATCAGATGCATTTTTCTGGTTATGCTGCTTTCACTGTCAGCATAACCATCTTCGCCACACCTGGCAATTATTATGCAAAAATAACAGCACACAGCATTTCCATTAGGCGCTCTAATGCCACCTTCCTCTGTCACCATCCAGCAATGAGCTACCCAGTATGAACATGTAATGTCAAATTACTATTAATACAATCCTTTAAGGCTCCAACTCAGTGTAAAGGTGGTAACATGTCTTTTAAAGATACTTTTGGCATGAAATGAGCCATAATGTCCTGGTACTATTTCTCATTTGGTGAATACTGTATAACTGTAGGCATGTTAGTTTTAAGCTTGTTTAAATCATCTTATTCCAAATAGTTTTTATGATGTGAATTCTGTATCAGCTGACTTTCAAAACTATTCAAAACCAAGACTCAAAATGGAAATATTTTACATGTCTTTTGCATCACATTTGACACATTTCTTAAGATTTCTACCAGACAGAATTGGTACCCATGGAAATGTTATGGCTCAGTGGTTTATGATGCATACCATGTTGTGCAACATCCCAGGATAATTAAGGCTATGGATATTTGTTCATTCACACATTTTTAGTTTTGATAGACTCCAATAGATCCTTACATTAATCAAGCCAAATAACCTTAATAATTTGACACGACTGATCTTGTTTCTGAAGTCCTTTCAGCATATTGTCACAACGTTTGTCAGTCGCGTGTATATTGAGGAGCCTGCTGCGTAACCACATGCTAACCTGAACTGTCTGGTGTCATTCAAAGCGTCAGCAGCAGATAGGTGTGATATCAAGTGTGATTTGTGTGCTTAAAGTACACAAATCACACCTCCCTGTGTTAGCACCTATCAATCAAATATCTGAAAGATGCAGACACATTTTCAGTTGTCTTTTAATCATAATGTGGTTTAAAAAGACAGATTATGAGACATATATATAATTAATTAATATACTTCATCATATTCCATCAAGTTAGTAGTTCATTAACCATGCTTTCTTTCCAGCTATGAAGACTATGTAAACATTTGATTTAATGAAAATAACTTTTTAATATTTTTGGGGTTCTTTTGATTTACATTTTAATTTGTCAGTTGTTGATTCATTTTCAGTTAATCAGATATGGCTTATCTTTCTTTAACTTTAACATTATTTTGTTACCATGGAAACGAGGGGGAAGGACGCTGAGAGCTCGTAAAAAGTTTGAACACAAACCAACGACAGCAGCAGGAGGAAGAGAGTCAGTACTGGAGACATTTTGTATCTACTCCGCCGTGAAAACTGTAAAAAAAAAAGAAAAAAGAATAATGACCTCCAGCAGCGTTCACGTGTGTGTGTGTGTGTGTGTGGTGTGTGTGTGTGTGTGTGTGTGTGTGTGTGTGTGTGTGTGTGTGTGTGTGTGTGTGTGTGTGTGTTTGTGTGTGTGTGTGTGTGTTGTGTGTGTGTGTGTGTGTGTGTGGTGTGTGTGTGTGTGTGTGTGTGTGTGTGTGTGTGTGTGTGTGTGTGTGTGTGTGTGGAGCCAGGGTCAGTGTGAGCGGTGTGTGTTGATGCCGTTGTGCTCTGCCTGTGTGTTAACCAATACTGTATCTATGTATACAGGCGTGTGGAGGGGAGCGCTGAGCGGGCAGCAGCCAAGAGGAGCTCTGCCAACTTCGATCTGCTAAAAAAACCGCAGGGAACTCCAAGACCTGGACAACGAGAACCAGGAGAGCCAAGAAGTAGGTTAACGGGAGCTAACGATACAGTTCATCCCAACAAAGAGTAGGCCTACTTACAGAGGTGGGAGAAGTACACAGATCTGGTATTTGAGTAAAAGGAGAAGTACCAGAGTATAGGAATACTCTGTCATAAGTTAAAGTCCTGCATTCATAAGGTTACTCAATTAAAAGTACAAAAGTATTTGCATCAACATATACTTAAAGTACCAAAAGTACTCGTTATCCATATTGGTCAATTTCAGAATAATATTATGTTTTCATTATATTATTGTTGCATTGAAGTGTTATCAAAGCTGGTAAAAGTGAAACTAGTTTTGATTACTTTGTATACTGCAGGGTAACTAGTACATTTGACTCCAGGTGTAACTAAAGTCTGATTTAAGTGTTGATTATATTTCACATTATTGTTCCAAATCTGTAAAGTAACTAAAAGTGCATAATAAATGTAGTGGAGTATAAGTACAAAGTAGCATAAAATGGAAATACTCAAGTAAAGTACAAGAAACTCAAAATGTTACTTTAATACAGTACTTGAGTAAATGTACTTAGTTACTTCCCACTACTGTGTAGTACAAAATGTATTTTATGTATAAGAAAATATAAAATACAGCATGCTTGATCAGCTGTAACTTGAACACAGTTGAGGATGCATGTAAGGAAGACCTACAAGAAAAGTCTGAACTGTAAGCAAACAGTTCAAATAGTTAACTGACTAAAAGTAGGCCTAATGGATAATTGTAAAATAGCTAAATGTATAACTTTTGACACTAGTATTATAAATGTGATCTTGCCAGCGGCAGTTCTAGACCAATGTTTCTGGGAGGGCCTGCTGTGGACAGTTATCGAAGAGGCACATTATATGTGACAAAACTGAAAAAGACAAGAGTTTAACATCACTACGTTTTTAAGATTTTAAGTTTCATACTGTACACCCTGTTCAGTTCAAGTGTAAGTGTTACTTTATTTGAATCAGACCCATCAAATACCATTTACAATTCTGTTTCTACTATATACAAAAATGGATTCTTACCACCACAAAATATTTGTATCATCTGTAAATAATATAAACAAAGAGACAACAATACAACAAACCCTGAGCTCTAGGGAACCCCACTCGTAACATGCAGTATTTGTGCTTTAAAGTTGTAATTTTGTACGTGTTAGTTATTTTTCTCCAGGTATCTGCTTTACCAAAAGTGACATCCCGCTAAATCCATATATTTGTAATTCCTTCATTAATAGCTCATCGTGTCAAATGCTATTATTAACAAGTGTTGATGTTTCCCACGCAGTGTAACTTTCTGATTTAATGCTCAATGTCCTGACTTACCATCATAAATGTTCCCAAGTCATGTTTGCCTACTATGTGTGTCTCATTATAGGAACTGGAGAATTTGCAACAGCGTGAAGCTGAGTTGCAGGAGAAGATTAAGAAAGCTAACAAGATGAACCTCAGCTTACAGTTTCTCAGGGTACAGTGAAGGACCATTTCACACACAATTCCTATATGAAACTATACCTAACGTTATTTGATTTTAGTGTCATAGCTGGAACTGAAAACACTAAACTAAATCTCTTCATCTCCCTCCCTGCAGGACCAGTATACTGAATGTTCAGAGGGAGCAGAGAGGGAGAGGAAAGAGGTTCTTCATCTGGATGCAGAGCATGAGAGGCTGGTGGTGGAGTTAGCTGAAGAGCTGCAGAGCAAGCAGGAGCGAGAGCGCCAGCTAGTGAAACTCACTCCGTACGCTGTGAACTTCGAGCGGGCGGCCAAGTTGACCAAGGTACTGCAAGGGATTTTTTTTAGAAGGTAGAGAATCTAATTTAAACATGTTTATTGTACAGGAATAGTCCTTGTGTGGAATCGACTTTTGTAATTGTTTTGGTCTTTCTAAATCTTGTCTCTTGATGATGTCCTCAACAGTATTCACACACATTTAATATATGGCATTGTTGTGAGGAAAAGCCTTTCTGTCTCTTTCTTCCTCCAGGTTTATGCTTTATTTAAAAAAAGTGCAATCATGTGTTAGATTAGATAATGAATTTGAAATAATGGAGTTACATTGTGTGTGGTTTCTATGTGTGTGTGTTACAGTTTAAGGATGCAAAGAGCCTCGCAGATCATATGGAGAACCTTCTCCGCATTCGAGAGAGTCACCTTCAGAAGGACCTGAAGAAGCGTGAGAAGTATGACGAGCTGAGGAGAACCCTGCAGTCAAAGCAAGAACAGCATCCCCTCATGCGTCTGCAGAAGAACTACGAGCTGTCCCAGATGGAGGTGGAGCATGAGAAAGAGCGCTCTGAAGTTCTGGAATGGGTACGAGAGCTGACCCCGGGTCAAAGTCCGGCATCAAAGCTAACACCAAATCAAATGATGATCTTCTGTGTGAAATGAAGTTGTCCCTGTCCCCACACAGGAGAGGAAGTGGAACCACATTCAGGAAACCGCATCAAATGAAACACTTCTCCTGGGACAAATCAAGATGGCGACACTCAACCTCTACGAAATGACGTGTCAAGACGAAAAGGCAGATGAAGTGGTTGATATAAACGACACAGAGAAACAGCTGGACCAGGTGTGTACCCCAACAGAGCAGAGATGGAGGTAAAAAGCAGACAGAAAAATATCATCTTATAATTTAGTCTCCTCAGGTTAAGACGTTCATTCAAGACAGCGACGACATTGTCAAACAATATCAGACTTCTTCACAGAGACAAGATGGAAAGAAAAGAGACAAAAAGAGCTTTCCAAGTCACCGTAAAAAAAAAGGCTTCAAAGTAACCTTTACCATGAGTCTCCTTTGCTGAGATGGAACTAAATAATTAAAGTGTGTTTATCTAATGTTAAACTCTGTGAGTTTCATTAACTGTTAACTTGTAGACACTGAACTTCAATACACTTGAAAACTGAGTGCAATCAACTATTGTCCATGTATCTCATCATTGTTATTAACATGGCTTGATTCTAAATTCTGAAATGGTTCTGATAGTGGTAGCTAAACATTTGAGGGTGACTTGTTCATAAATGCTGTATATCTACTAGCAAAATCAGATAACTTATAGTAGTAGTCAATCCTCCTCCTATTGGCACAATGTAATGTAGACAATGAATCATTCAGAACAAAAAGTCCTGTACTGCCCCCTCGTGGCTATTAAAGAAAACAGCAATTGGTGTTAACTTATTTTAGCTGATTTTTGAAGGAAAGCTTTGCTGGGGATTTGCCAGGTCATTTAAATCCATGTCCTTACAAGAGATATAAAGGTGTTTGTCCAACAGGTGCATCTGTGGGCATCTGCATAGTTTGATAATGTTTGCAGCAAGACATTATATACATTTAACAAACCAACGCAGTCCTTTGTGTTGTGTGTTTAAAACATCTGTTTGAGTTTAAAACATATAGAACTTCATTAAAAAAATAACATACATGACAAACACACTCTGAATGTGAAGTATAATGGTATTTGCTCAACAGAATCTTTATATATTTTAAATAAAACATCCAAAAACGTTCAGGTAGGGTGTGTCCCTGTGCATCTGAGTAATTAAACCAGTCAGCGACTTATTTGGTCTTTTTGCCTTTTCCTTTTTTGGCCTTCTTGCTTTTGCCCTTGTTTTTTAAGGCCTTGCGAGTACTGTAGCCTCTCCACCAGGCTTGTGCCATAATTGCAGCTTTGGTCTTTAGCTCCAGCTCCTTCGCCTCCTTCTTTCTCTTCTCTTCTGCCAGCCGACGCTTCTCTTTGATCTGGTTGCACTCGACCTCTAGGACAGAGAAGAGTTTCTCCAGCGTTTTCAGCTCCTCGTCCTCCTTTTCATAATACATTCTGTTCAAATCCAGCTTAGCCTGAGACATGGGATGGTGGAAGTTAAAGTAAAATCAGAAATGTGATAAAGTGTTTCGAAACATTAGCCATTTGAGCATCCTGAAATCACAAACGGCGTAATTTAGGTATAAATCCTTTTATGCCATGCTCTAAGGCCGTCATTTTTGTTTATTTTATACAATTGGGGAATGCATTTCAAAGCAAAGACACACAGATTGGTGTTTTATAGCTTAAAAAATTGATAAATACAACATAAATTGTTGTATGTATTCATGGGTGCTCGGGCTTTTAGCTGCACTGCTCCCAGACTCTGGAACGCCCTCCCACCGCACATCGGACAGTCAGACACAATCACCATATTCAAATCCCAATTAAAAACCCACCTGTTCAAATCTGCCTACCCACTGTAGTGCTCCCCATTATATGTTTCATTTGAGTCCACTTGACTGTCTCCTCCATGATTTCCTGTTTGTTTTTTTATCATGTTCTGTTGCCTATTAGCGTTTTCTTTTTTTTAACAAATTGTACGGTGTCCTTGGGTGTCATGAAAGGCGCCTAAAAATAAAATGTATTATTATTATTATTATAAATTGACACATATTTGGATAATTGATTATTCAGTTGTTTTATCAAGTAAAAATAGCAAATATCCTCTGGTTTCAGCTTCTTTTATGTGAGGATTATCTGTGTTTTATATTATTATATGATCGAACAGGATGACACATTTACAAAATATCCTCAATCTAGTAGTCAAATGATCATCTAAACAAGCATTCTCCATCAGAGTATGGAGACTGACCAAAACTAAGCCGAGAAAGACTGTGAGATGCAGCCGAAGGCTCCAGGAAAAAGCTTGTAAAAGGACTCTGTGTTCAGATTATTTTGTTAAAATATCATATCTGGGGTCAAGACCAGACTGTATGTTTATCACCCTGAATATAGCCTCACAGGCACAAGAGCTTTTATCCAGAGTATACACATATATTTTTCCAGTTATTTTGGGCACTTGGTAGCGGCACGTTAGTCTGAAATGGTACCTGTTTTTCTTCCATTTCCGTGTCAAAGGTATAAAGCAAGTTTTCAATTTCTGTCTCCACCTTTTCAATTTTCTGCCAAGGAAAAAGAACAGAGACCGTTATGTTATAATAAAAATATATTTGTACGTTTATTGTGATGTGTTAGATACACTAAACGTACCTCTTGGATTACTCTCTCTGCCTGCCTGTTTTCAAAGATCAACTTGCTGAGCAGAATGTTCGGTTGATCAATAGCTTGTGTTTTACCGGCCTTCTTCATCTTTGATGCAGTATGCACCTGGCTCTGCTGGACCGGAAGAAGTGAAATACCTGCCTTATGTCTGTTGTTATCTTCCAGATAACCTTGGCAGCGTTTGATTTCTTCATTTTTCTCAAAGATCTGTGATACAAAAACAACGATGGGAGAGGTGAGATGACAAAAGGGGCAAAAATATGATGATGAGATTTTTCTTTCTTATCTAGCTGCATTTAAGCAAGTTATACATTTCTTAGATTAGATTTATTTCATGAGGGTCTCTTTTTTTCAACATTCAATGTATTGCCTCACCTCTGCATCTTGTTGCTCCATGGATATTGCTTGTTTTTCTTGCTTTAAAGCTAGGATCTCCAGACGGTGGTTTTGGTATGAAGACTTTTGGAGATCCAGCTGATCATTTAGCTCCTCCTCCACACTGGTCAGCAGCGTTTCAACCACACAGCTCTGAAACTTCTCAAGCCCTGTAATTAGTTTGTACTCACTCTCCCCTACAGCGAGCGTCTTACCTAGCTCTGCCTTCAAACCAGAAATGGCATCAGGATGGGCTCTTGCCAGCCTTAACAGATCCCTCAAAGAATTCTTGATGTCCTTCTCAAGTCGAGCCATGGCCTTGCCAACTTCTCTCCCTTGTTCCCCGTCTGACCCCTGCATGAGACATTCAAATGTCTCCAGTCTTTTCTCTAATAGTTGATGCTCCTGAAGAGCCATACTCAAGTCCTTGTCCACCACACTAGAAAGAGTGTTTAACTGGAGGAGAGCAGGCAGCATTGCTACAAACTCAACTCCACTAATGCAGTTTTCCAACATGTTTAAGATGCGTTTAGCTTCAAGGGAGAGCGGCTTCCTCTGTGGCACTTCATTGTTCTCTGGAGCTTCTTCTAATTGGGTCTTTGTCTTTCCCAGCACTGTGGACCTCTTTGCAGACATACTGTCACTAAATGGTAGGAAAACAGTCAAGAATAGCAAAAGATTAATGTTGTAACCTTTGTATACTGACATACAATATTGGCTTACAATATTATCCCCACTAGTGGAATGTAACTATTTACTTCAGTACTGTTAGTACAATTTTAAGGGACTTTACATGAGTATTTTTAAATCCAGCTACACTTCTTCTCCACTGCATCCCATGGGCACATGTTGTGCTCCACTCCACTACATGTTCAGATAGCTGTAGTTACTGTCTTTAAAGATCAAATCATGATGCATTAAGTACAAAGATGATGCTTGGAGATATTCACATGCTAGCTTACTGTATAGCAACAACAACAAATTAAGTGTCTGCAACATTAAAGCCTTAATCCCAAAATATATGATTCATTATTCTGAATTAGATGTTCTACAATAAGTGTGCCTACAGGGTATGTCTGACCTCAACAAGTAGAAACAAATAAAATTGATTGTTTCTTGATATACGGCAGCCTCAAGTCATTGGCCTATATAGTAACTATTGTAAGCATGTTATTTATAAACAGTATTTGCAGTTATTAATAGTAATGAATAATAATAAATCTTATTTGTATAGCACTTTTTATACACCAGGTGCAGCTCAAAGTGCTTTGACAATATGACACAGATCACAAATTAAAACAAAAAACGGGAAATTCACTTCAGGTCAAACCTTTTTTTGCACACATGCAGCATAAAGCGTAATTTAACAATTCAAGGGACACAAGGGGGTAAAACAGGTATAATGAAAAGTAAACAATACATTCAATAACATAAATAATGATCCCTCTGTAAAATATAGGATGACATGGGACAAAACGAATAAATACAATAACATAATAAAATCTATAAAATAAATAAGTACATCAAACAATTACAATTGTAATAATAATAAATGCATAATGAGAATAATAAAGATGAAAAGACCCATTAGTTAAAGCTACGTTTGATCAAATAAGTGCGCATTAGGGTGTGTACATTCAGGCTAGACAACATACTGATACTACACCTATGTTGCTTTTTAAAATGTATTTAAAATTGACGAGGATGACACTAAATCCTTGAGCTTTTGTTGCTTTAGATGTTTGTGTATATATATATATATATATATATTGACATATAAACTAGTAAAGCTCTTACCTGTCTACTTGTTGGTCTCAGACGAAAAATATTGTTTACATGTTGCTAAGATACCACCGTAGACAAAACACTGGCAAATCTAATTGGGGAAAAAAACATGATCAACCTATGGTCTGTTTTGAATATATAATTAATTGTGAAAAAATAAAAAGACTTAATTGTTTTAACACATGTTTTTACAACATTGTTTTAAAATGATTGACTTTTATTTTGAAAGGTTGGCAACTCTGCCGGCTGCCGTGAAATGTTTCGGTGTCGCGAATGTTTGTTGATACCACAGTATCATCTGTGCTGTAGAGCTTTCTTTTAGTGTCGTTGATAAGTGTCAGATAGTGTTGTTTGAGGAAGGATTTATCTTTATCGATATAGAATCGGAGGACTTATTTGTAGGTTTGGTGTTATCAGAACATCTGTTATCCAGCATTAAAGCTTTGTGATGATGCCGCCGTGATGCAAACAGACAGCAGTTAGTGATCCAGTGGATGTGACAGGACAACACCATCAACCCGCGGGCCCTGTCAGCTGCTAACAACCTAAAAGCTGCTAGTTCCTGTTTTAAATGACTTCTACTTAGCTCTGTCTCAGTTAGCACTGCCTGAAAAGTCCTCTGTTTGTTTGCTAAACAGCGAGCACCCAAGATGTGCAGTTGTCTTTGCGGAACAAACCGCGCACTTATTTAGCCTGTGGGTGGATTAGACAACTCTATTTACATTAAGCCTGTTTATCTGCTAACATGGAGTCAGACGACGATGTGCCTCTCATCTTAACATGGGACGAAGCAAACAGCGGTCTGCTCAGCGAGGAGACCGAGAGAGGAGACGAAAGTGAGTTGTGTCATATCCCCACAATGCAGACTATTGTTTGGCCGGGCCCATGACCGTGGACACTGGTGTTGCTAATACCTGCCATATTCAGTGTTAAGTAACTAAGTAGATTTACTCCGGTACTGTACTTAACTTAACTACCATTTTGGAAGACTTCTACTTCAATTTTTTGTGAGTTTAAACTTTTACTCCACTACAATTCAGAAGTAAATCATGTTCTTTCACTCCACTACATTTATTTAATATCATTAATATTATATATAATGTAAAACTATCTTTTACCTCTACCAGCTTTTGTTAACATCAATGCATCAATAATTATAATCAAAACATATAATATATTATTCTGAAAAGCACATAATGAGTACTTTTACTATTGGTTCTTTAAGTATATTTTGATGCTAATAATACCTTTGTACTTTAACTTGAGTAATATTTTGAATGCAGGTCATATACTTGTAACAGAGTATTCCTACACTCTGGTACTTCTACTTTAACTTAAGTACAATATCTGAGTACTTCAACCACCTCTGTCATTCTTATTATAATAATATAATATTATGGCAGAGTTTAATATGTTGGCCTAGAATTAAAGTCAAAATCCCTCTGAGCATATTACCATCTTTGCACTCTATCTCCCCTCCATGAAGATTATCAGGGTTTAAAATCAAGTGTTTCCTCACTTACCACTGTGGCAGTTTACTTAACATTCCTACCTGTCACAAAATATCATATATAAGTCATATTATGCTATGTCACAAAAAACACACCTTACATCCTTTGTATTGTGTTCATACAAAGTCATAGTATAGTATAAATGTATATATGATATGTCGTATAAATGTCTTGTGTGCGATAAAAAAAAATGATGTCATATCAAATATAATTTCATTAAAAAAATCCTAATGTATGCACAAATAAAAGTCATAAATTAGTATGTCGTAAACAAATCTCATAGTGTTGTACAATGTTCAATTATTGTCTAAAATCATTTTAGGTGTCGTTGGTGTTTTATTCTATGTTTTGGCTCCATTGTTTTGTATTCATATAACTGCAAAGTGTTATTTATAGAAGAGTATTTAGTATTTTTGTCTAGGCTATTATTGCAGTATATTGTGATATATATAAGCTTGTCTACTCACCAGATGTGCACTAGCCGGGTCATAGCCGTTTAATGTTGTTTACAGTCAGCTGCATACATTCTGCACATCCAGGCCCTGCTGCTGTAACGGAGAGAAGAGATTTTTCCACTATGCTTGGAGGTCACGTGTGTGTGTGTGCGTGTGAGTGTGCATGTGAGTGTGCATGTGTGTGTGCGCTCAAAGTACGTATGGGTATCCATGCATCAACTCAACATAATAATCCTGCTGCCTTTGTGTTCCTCACATACAAGCTACAAAATGACCCGTCTGAGAACCTGCTGCCTCAGCACACCGGTGCACCCCCCCGCCCCTCCCTGGTGCTCATGGACCGCATGTGTGTGTTGTGTGTGAATGTCTGCAGCCTGTGTGTAAGTGTGTTTGTGTGTGAGCAAACTGAAGCATTTACTCTTGCTCTGGAGCTGAACAGGAAGAGAGGAGAAGTTTTTTTTTTTTGTCCTCAGGATATTTGGTAGTGGTGGACAGGGAGGAAGTATCATACTGTTCTTTCTGATTGCTGTTGGAGCTTTCTGCAAAAAGAGGGAGTTTGAACCTGGACACTGAGAACGAAGGCTGGATTGTATCCCTTCAGTGACAAATCACTTGTGGAGTTCAGTTTAACTGCTGGTGGTCAGGACCCTTGAGATCACCACAAAACTAGATTGTATTTGTCCTACTGCTGAGCCTATTTGTGCTTCTGTGTGCCTGACCCCAACGTGTTTTTGACTGGGACAACATATTATTGTTCTCTAACAAATGAGGGGTTGACACACGGTGTTCTTCTGTCAGGATAACAGCCAGGCTGCCGCTGGACAGGAATCTGATCTTCACATCTCAGCTGCTGCTGTCCTAGTTTACAGGAACAGTGTGTGACTGCTTTTCAGAGACTCATTTAATCTCCTCTATGTTTTATTCCAAGGACAGAAGCCGAGACATGTGATGCACAGTACATGTGAAGAACACCCAGATAGACTCGCATAGGATTGAAGTATGCAGCTGCTGGAAGACAAATGGAGGGATTGCTTTTTTTAAGAAAGAAACTGATTTATACTAAAGAAGGATCTTGCTTTAATCTATAATTTCAGGTTATGAGATAAAATAATAATTGTAATTCTTCATTCTGTCCTAATATGCTACTGCTTTTTCAGTGTTATTACATATTTAGATGTCATCCCTGTGTTTTGAAGTAAGTCATTCTCCTTGTTGTATCACAGGATTAATTCCTCTTTTTGGTTTATCTGAGTGGTGCCTGTATCCTGTCTATGCCAGGAAGGGGATGGTTTAGACAATGTGAAATCAGTGCAAACACGGCATTTTCTTACTGACTGTATGCCCGGGGTTTAAAGTTCAATCTGTGTGGCTATGGCAGTAACGTTTTACTGTCACTGGTGACAGTATCTCTCATTAAGGCGATTGTAAAAGTCACTTTTTTTATAGAAGCAGACAATTGTCAGAAAATAACTTTTTAAGCACTGTCAACAGCTTTTAAAAGGTGTTTTGTTTCCAGTGTCACTTTGATCCCCCGTTTTAGTTTGAATATTTCTGGATCTGTAAGGACTCTCATCCTGACTTTGTGTCTGGAGTTTGAATCAGGCCTGGAATGTTTGGCCCTTAGTATCTCCAGATGTGTGTGAATGCTGGAACAAGACCAGTGCACTGTGAATGACACACACACACACACACACGCGCACACACACACACACACACACACACACATACACACACACACACACTTGTGCTGTGGGACTTGTATTCATTCATACAGCAGCGATACTCAGACAAACTGATCAATGGAGTGCATATGCGGACAGGCAGCTGATTCCCATGAAGATCAGACTCACAGCGGGACTCCAGTAGTGATCTCCTCGTATGCCTTACAGTTCGAACTAGACTGCATTGGTAGGACCCTCTATGTACTGTGTCTGTGTGATTGTGTAACCCATATTGGAACAACTTCATTGTTATTTTGTTCTTTTCCACATCATGTATTAATAAACTGACACTTACGTGTTTCTTCCAGATGGAGGAGGAGGAAATTATGACATAGTGAACAATGCTGTGATCTCAACGCCCGGGCCACAACTCCACAGAGCCCAAAATGCGTCCTTACGGCAGAGCTGGGAGATGAACTTCCAAGAGGCGGCCATCTACCTGCAGGTACCCAGGAGCAGTAAAGTGTGTCATGTGATAGTTACTGAGTGTGCCAGACTGCTGAGTCCACATGGTTATATAATGGTTTTTATTGCATCCTCCTCACTGTACTACATGTGATGGGTAAACTTTGTACTCATTCAAATTTCAAAGTATATATAAATAAAGTAGTGAAATAGGGAAGCACAAATGAGGAATTTCATGGTAAAATCATCTTATTGTTGTTTGTAAATCATTATAGTTTGAAGGAGTTGCACAGTTCATGTGTAATGATGTTAAGTGTGTTTTTATAGGTATTGTTTTACATTTAGTGTTTTGTCTCAAAACGAATTGTGTCTATTCTTCAGGCCTGACAGTGTTTTGAATGCTTGACGATTTTTAAAACACTATGGCCCAATCCCAAACCACGCCCTACACCCTAACCCTACACACTCCCCCTCCGTGACGGAGTGAACTCCGTGGAGTGACACTCGCAGTTCAACGAGGCTCCCTCCTGTCAGATGGAGGGAGTAAATACAGCGGCAAGCTTTGGGACAAACTCCCGTTCTTATTATCCATCCATGCAAACTCCCCTCTCTCCGGCAGAAACAGGAAATGCCGTAACTGTATGTAACAACGGTTTCAAATCAGCATCTCTTGGACAAAAAATACAAATTAATAACTAAAATAAAACTCCAAACATTACTTTTACTTTTTTGTAAAGCTCTTTTAGTTTTAAACCTGATGTTTATAAGCTTCTTAGTTTTTGCAACAGTCTGTAAATATACACAACTTTATAATAAAATGCAGGGCTAGGGCAGGGGTACTCAAACTTTTTTATTAAAGGTCCACTTGTGAACTTTATACAAGGTCACTGGTCCGGATCAATGCCAGTAAAGTCACCCCCCCCCCCCCCGAAACGAAACCGTTTTTTATGGCGCGCTATGCATGGAGCCACCTTGAGGGGGTTTCCCGACATGTCGTTGCAGTAAATGAAAGGGTGTTTCATGTTGTCGTTGCTGTGGACCTTCTTAATCTACCTTCTTTGGGGGCCCCCTTCTGGTCCAAGCACTTGCCTGCCTTGCCTGTCGGCAAACGGCGCCGCTTTATACACTACACTCACACATTCAATACATACATATTGGCTTGGCTGTTTGTCTGTAGTCAATGCCTTGAACCTCGGCAAAAAAGGCATTAGAAAGTCAAGGTAAACTTGCGGTTAACTTGCGGTCTGCAATGAGTGTCAGGCTCGCGCACATTACCACTACCTACTGGTGATGAATCAGTTTGAATCAACCTGCATTCTTGTGTGCATACACACTTGTTTGTGGAAACAAAACTGAGATCGTAAAAAAGATTGCTCTATCGCATGAATTAATTAAAAGGTACAACTTTGTAAACAGATAACATTTACCACACATCCACAACATTGTCTTCTATGAAGTACAGGAAAATGTGTCACTGCTTCATCATACCACAATGTCAGATACTGCTGCAGAGTGGTGGGACATTGATTCAATAAGAGGAAAAAAACGGACATTATGCGATTTAAATGCGTCCTTTAAATGTCACACACAGGAGGGAGAGAACAATGATAAGTTCTTCACCCATCCTCGAAACCCTAAGGCATTGGCAGCGTACCTGTTTGCCCACAACCACCTGTTCTACATGATGGAGCTGCTGACAGGCCTGCTGCTGATGATGCTGTCGCTGTGTGAAGCCCCCGCTGTGCCCTCACTGCGTCTGGACGTCTACGTGAGTAAACACATACACACATACACACACACACACACACACACACACACACACACACACACACACACACACACACACACACACACACACACACACACACACACGCTTATAAACACAGCTCCCTCTAAAAGCCCCTGTGTTTTTGATCCCTCTGCAGGTCCATGCCACTCTGGAGCTGCTGGCTCTGGTTATGGTGGCGTTCGAGCTATGCATGAAACTGCGCTGGTTAGGCTTCCATACCTTCATACGACACAAGAGGACCATGGTGAAGGTAACTGATCCATGATGGGGTCTTTCTGATGACATTATAGAAGTGCTGCAGAGTTCTGGTAAAAATGAGAATCAACATTTTTTCAACTCAAAATTGGAATCCTGATTTCTCCTATAATTCTTAAGAACACAATTTTTTTTAAATGATTGTCCGCATTGTTTTCATGTAGACAGAACAGTCAATATGATGATTCGCTAAAGGATAACCTGTCTAACAGCTGATGGGGATTTCCCACAGTTTGTGATGTGTCATGTTTTAGTTTTTCTTGAAAAGTAATGCAGGCTTTTCTATTGTCATCTTTGAATTCTCTGCCAAAAAGCAGACTGTAAGCACCGTGTTTCGTGGTGGAATTAATTATTAAATTATTATTTTGGTTGTGTGGATTCATTGTGCAGCCCAGCTTTAGTTACTTCAGCATGCTGGATGCTTTACATCAAATGGTCTGGTCCACTGCACATTCGTGTTCATGACGTCTCTCCTCCTTGTTCAGACGTGTGTGTTGCTGCTACAGTTTGTGGAGGCCATTGTGGTTCTGATCAGACAGACGTCTCACGTGAGAGTGACCAGAGCTCTCAGACCAATCTTCCTGGTGGACTGTAGATACTGTGGTGCTGTGCGCAGGTACACGTGACCAAAACATCACACATTCACCCAGTCAGGTCAAATTCATGGCCAAATAGGATTTTCAGCTAGTTTAATGTACACAATTTGTTGTAAATGTACTTGACTGCTCACTGATGGTCAGTTTGAATCACCTATTTGTAAATTGCTTAATTCAAAGTAATCTCCCTTTTCCATTTGTCCATGATTTTCTCCCACTTAAACATTATCAGATATTTCACTGTTAAACCATTCATTGTACTGACTAATGTTTCTTTTATCCAATCAGAAACTTGCGACAGATCTTCCAGTCCCTCCCACCTTTCATTGACATCCTGCTACTGCTGCTTTTCTTCATGGTTATATTTGCTATGTTGGGTAAGAATGCAAAGGAAAACAGAAACATAGAAACTAGTTTGGGGGGGTTTTGGTTTTTGTGGAATTTAAAAAAAAACATTATTTCCTGTTACTCTGTGTGCATTACTATCCTGTTGTCTCATTCCAGGTTTCTGCCTTTTCTCTCCGAACAAAACGGACCCGGTATGTTGAGTCTTTAGTGTCCGACATGAGTTTATCTGAGTTGTGTTAGTCTGGGGATTTTTTGGTGTCAGGTTTCTGTGTTAAAGCCTGTGCTCTCGCCGCAGTACTTCAGCACCCTGGAGAACAGCCTCGTCAGTCTGTTTGTGCTGGTCACCACAGCAAAGTAAGCACAGCCGAACACAAAGCACTGTTCACGTTTCTGTTCCAGTTTTACATACATGCCATGCAAGCAGAACTTCCTGCTTTCAGAGCTCATCATAAATGTTGTCTTATTTCCCCTCACCACATGTGTTTTGGCTGATTCCACAGTTTTAATGTTATGCCTCATGACTTAAGTTTCTCATGTTTCCCTTTTTCTTGTAGTTTCCCTGATGTGATGATGCCTTCCTACTCCAAGAACCGCTGGTCTTGTGTGTTCTTCATTGTCTACCTCTCCATAGAGCTCTACTTCATCATGAACCTGGTACTTTGTTTCCACCACTTCTAATACCTCAGTTATAATAAGATATGGCTTATTTCAAGTGTTTTTTTTTAAACATGTTCACTCATCAGCCTCCCTTCTCTTTCCCCCCACAGCTCCTGGCAGTTGTGTTCGATACGTTTAATGACGTTGAGAAGATGAAGTTTAAATCTCTTTTACTTCACAAACGCTCCGCTATCGACCATGCCTTTCAGCTGTTAGTTAGCCGGCAGGTAAGCCCTCACCTATGTTTATTTGGTGCAAGTTATTTATTTAAAATGAAGCACTCACAAACACTGTGTTGTTGTTTTCTCAACAGAGGCCGTCAGGTGTGACACTAAAACAGTTTGATGGTCTCATGCGATTTTACAGACCACGGATGTCTGCAAGAGACCGCTTCCTCACATATAAAGCTCTTAACACCTCAGGGGCTCCGATGCTCAGGTAACTGCCTCAAACTAAAATGTGAATGCTCCTCAATGTTAATGTTTTACTTTCAGCCACATGAACAAGTGTGTGACCTCTTACACATATGTATCCACAGACTGTGCTACACTTACATTTAAACATGATAATTGGATTTTAATCAAATTAAACTTGGTAAACGGTTGTCCAACAGAATGACATATTGAAGCATGGCACCAATAGCCCCTCCTTGTGGCCATTGGTAGATCTTCACCTGTTAAGCATGTGTTTTTGACAGTTTACAGAACATTGATTATTGCACACA